CAAATTGGTGTTTGTATATGTCAAAAATTTTTCAAACTATTTATCAAAGTCCTCTTTAAAAGGCTTTAGTGATAGAATTTAGAATATGTTGAGAAATAGTTTAGTATGAATATTGAAAAAAATATTAATATTAAATTTATTGTTATTTTGAATTTGAAGTGAGTTTGTATTGATAGCATTTTGGCTGATAAAGTAGTTGAGTATAAGGTGAATTGGCATAATGTTTAGATCCTTAGCAAACTTATCAGCATGAATAGTTTGATAAGTTGAATTAAAATAGAGGTGAAGGCATACTAGGTTTAATGATATTTGTAATCAGTTTGGTAATATATAGGGAGGTATAATATAGTGTGATTAAAAGATTTTTTATAGTTAAGTTTGGTAAAAAGTATAGAAATAAATTTGGCTAGGAGGAGTTTGAAAGTATTATGAAGGATTTCAAAAGGGATTAGAATATTTGTATTGATTGAAAGATTAGATTTGAATACAAAGTTAGTTAAGAATTCAGGATGTTAGCCTGCTAGAGTTTTGAGTAGATATTTGAATGAGTATTTGGAAGGAGTTATGTTTGAAAAAGTAGTTAAAATAATTTTGCTAGGAGTGAAGTTGATAAGATAAGGTTTAATAAAATTAAAGATTTGTTAAGCGAGAGATATATTAAGTTTAGTATTGTTTTCTATTTCTTTAGTAATTAGAAAACTTTTAAACTAATCAAAGTCATTAGAGGTATCATATTTTGGGTTAAATTTGTCATTATTATTATCACTAGTTTTGTTTTTGTTATTATTATTGTTGTTGTTATAGTTGTTGTTATTGCTATTGTTTTCATTGTTATTATTTTGTTTTTAGATATTTGGTTTTTTGTAGATTTTTAAAGATTTGTAGTGATGTAGTTATTCTGCTAATATTATTTGCTTAAGAGCAAGGATGATAGTAGTATTTTTTTGTTTGTTAGTGAAGGGTTTAGTTTGTATAAGAGGTTTGATTAGAATATTAATAATTTTAGGAATACAGGAATGGTGAATAAGATGAGTTTTGAAAAGTATAGATATTGTATAATCAGGTACATGTTTGTTGTTAGTAGTATAAACATATAGTAAGTTTTTAGTTTTACAAATAATAAAAGTATGTAGATGTTGGAAGTATACTTGAATAGTTGCTAGAGTTGTATCTGTTTTGAATTCTAAAAAGAGAATTGTAAAGGTAAGTTAAGTAATAGTAGAGAAAATGAGCTTATCAGTAATTTTTCTATAGCTTTTTACTAAAATTGTATTAGAGGAGATGTTTATTGCTTCAGGATTTTCTAAAGTAGTATAAGTTAGAGTAGAGTAGCAGGATGTAAAACTTGTATGATATTGACTACAAAAGCATATTGTGATGATAGGTTGGAGAAGAACAAGGAAGTAGTAAAGTTTTTTATTATTTTCTTTATAGTGAGTTGGTTTAATGTTTTGTGCAAGAATATGAAGAAAGGATATTTTAATTTTATTTATTACAACTTCAAAGCAGTCTTTGTATTTAGAGTAGTAGTAATTGATGTCATAGGAGTTAGGGTCTTAGCTAATATGAGTAGGCATATTTAGGAATTAATAAAATAGAGTCAAAAAAAGGTATACGATGTAGTATTATTTGTTTCATATAATGTATATAATATGATATAATATAAGATGTAACAGGTGTGGCTAGTGTAGCTCGTAGCTAGTGTGGCTAGTGTAGCAAATATAGTACAAAGTACAAGTATATAACACTAAGTTAAAAATAGTTTAGAGTTGTACTATATGCAGTACAAATTAAAAAGAAGACAAATAAATAATTAATTGATTTGTGTTAAATTATAATTGAACTTAAAAAGGAATTTGTAATTGTCAGGTAAACCAATAGTTTTTCTTGAGCTGTCATATAATCCAGCTTCAGGTTTGAAGAGAGCAAAAGGAAAAAGTAAAAAATAGAGTAAATTTTAAGAAAAAAGTTTTAAAGCAATTTTTTGAGAATAAAATACTGAGTTTTGGTTCGTTTTTAGTGAAATTTATATCAGAATGAAGCCTGTAATAAGCTAAACATAACTCTTTTAGTAGGCAAGAGTTGTTAATTTAGTAGAAAATTGAGAAATTTTCAGAATAACAATTTAATAGTTTAAGTAGAATATCTCAATGAGTTTTGGTCTAAGAGATATAAAACTAGGTTAGCCTAAAGCAGAAATTTGTGTAGAACAATTTTACTTAGTAGCCAAAAGGTTGTTTATTTAGTAAATCTTTTAGATATAACAAAATGTTTTTAGGAAGTTTTGGTACAAGTGATCTACAGAAAGAGTTAGTGATTTGCATTCTGATTAACAATTAATTATATAATACAATTATGCTAAACTAGTATGAATAAGATTTTAGTAATTTTAAAAATTTATAATTATATAGATTATTATGAAATTAAAAAATATTAGATATAAATTGTTAATTTTAAAACAAATTACTAAATAATCATATATATTGCTAGTTATATTCAAATCTACAGTATATTACAATATATCTTTTTATATTAAGAGTATTTTAAAAGAAAACCAAATTTAATATTTTAAATTTATAATTTAACTAACTCAACTTTTAGAAAAATTTGTTATAAAATATAATAATTAAATCTAGTTATAAATTTAAATTTAGAAGCTAAGTTAATAAGTTATAAACTTGAAAACCTAAATCTATTTTTCTTCTAGTATTATTTAAATATAAATATTTGAAGATTATTAATTTAAAATTTTTAAAATATAAGAGTTGATTTTTGTTTATATATATATTTATCTAATATTAAATTTAGTAAACTATTATATATTTGTAAAAATATACAAGATTAATTACTTATATTTTACAATAATTACAACCTATTATAATATTTATAATAATTATGATAATTGTAGTATTTTTTTATACTAATTTGTAGTCTATAAATTACAAACTACTTGAGATTACTATAGCAGATTGTATATAAGTATCTATATAATTAGTAATACAGGTTGATAAAAATTTCTTAGACTAGAGTTAAAACTAATAAAACTCGAGCAGGTTATCTGAGTTAACCTTTCTACTAGAGTTTAGTTTTAAATCTTATCACTAAGTCAAGATTAGTTAGTATATAAGAATCACTATAATATGTGAAGAGAAGAGAAATTATTAATAAAAAACAGATAAAATTTACAAAAAAAAATTAACCAAAAAGTTGTGAAAAATTAGAATCAAATGGAGAGATCAGATTTGAAAAAAATATATATTATTTTATATTCAGAAGAAGTAATTAAAGAAATAATTATACTTGACTACTATCAAACTTCTTATTAACTATTTCTACTATTATTTATATTACAAATCTATTAGTCAAAATAATTTGATTTTACATTGACCTAGCTAGTCTACAAAAGTATAAGTTGAGGATCAACTCACTATTAACTTAGCTGTAGAGCTGAGATTAGCTCATATTACTATATATAATAACTGGGTGAGTTAAGGCTTAAAAAATTAGATATTAGATAGTATATAGTAAAATAATATTATTTTTAAATGAAAAACAAATCTAAATAAAGTTATGACATGACTATTAAATTAAAAAAAATAATTATGATAATTACAATAATTACAATATTATGACAGTTATAACTATTATAATATATTTACAACTTTGAGTATTAGTTGTATTTAGAGTTACAACTCAAGTTGTAATTTGTAATATCTATAATTATTACTTACAGCTAGCAACTTTACTAGTAGTAGATTTTTTCTTATAAGTTATATTCATATAATAAGTTATTGTATTTCATTATGTATAACAATTTTTAAACTTTTTTTTTGTAATAGTTAGATTATACTCTATATTTTTTTAAAGTAGTATCTAGGATTAAGAATAGAGTAGTTTAGCTATAACAGTCTTGATATTAACTAGTAATAACCTTCTGTGAATAAGATTAGATAAACATATTTATTTATATACTTAGTTTTAGAAAGAAAATTATACTACTGCAGCAGATCACACTTGAGTACTATTTGAGTAGCTAAGTAAATTCAGAATTGCAACAAAGAAGACAATTTTAAAATTAGAATTTTATTTCTATTTTTCTATATTTGTTTATATATCATTATAATATTTTCTTAATAAATGAAAGGTAAGATCACTTAAGGTTAAAAAAAAAAAATTAAGTTTAATTTTTATTTGGATTAATTATAATAATAAACTTGTTTAATTTACTTATTTTTGATATTACTTACTATAGTAAAAATTATATTTAGCAAAGTCAGAAGATAAGTTAAATGACAAAGTCTTTTTTCTATAAAAGATATATTATTATTAAAATAGTTATGATATTTTATTGACTGCGTTCTAATTAAATATCTCGTAAGCTAGCAATCAAAAAAAGATCTGGTGAAACGTGAAATTGCAATTGCTACTTTTTTTTTAAAAAAATTAACTTAAAATTTTGAATATAACGATAAAACTACTTTTGGTGTTCTAATTAAAAAATTCCTTGCCAAATTTTGGTATAAATCTCACTATGCTATTGCCCTAACCCTAATCCTAATCTAGCTATGATTCTGACCCTTAAGTAATAAATAAAATAGATAGTTTTGATTTTAGGTTACACCTGATCTTATAATTACATACAAGGGTAGCCATAGCGCTATAAGAATATTCCTATTTATATAAAGCTATACAAAAAAATTTTCTTGATTTATATAACCCGACCGGGTCAAAATTTTAAAACTTTGAAACTTTTTTTTTATATGTTATAATAATCGGGTGGGGTTTTTAAAAAAAATTTATACAATTCTCTAAATATTAGCGCTGTAAGCGATTTTGTTAATATGAACATCTGCACTTAATTTGTTATTTATTATATGACTTATTTACCTATTATGTATATTTTTTGCCAGCTTTTATTCATTTTCGACAGCGTTATTCATTTTCGAGTTATTATGTCGTTATCCTCGACCCACAGCATCAAAAATGATGACTATAAAGACATGGTCTACAATTATGACTGGTCATCGACTATGCTTGGCCCTATGGATTCATGGGATCCTGCAATTAAAAATGTTGTGGTAATTATAATTCTTTTCTCTTTTAAAAAATAGTGAACTATTAAACAATCAACACCGTAAAAAAATTATATTTATGAATGTTAGAATTTGTGCCTCAACTCTGGCTTTCCCATCTGTCTCTCTATCGGTTCTCCTCATTGGACTGAGATATATAATGAAGGTAAATGAATTTAGGATTAACAAGCTTTTTTTATTTGATTTATTTTAAAACTCTAAGCCTATTCTCTTATATAGCTTGGATACCAGTATTAAAAACGAGACATCCATTCGGTTAGTTACATAAAGTTTATCGACATATGGTTAAATTAAACTTTGCCAATTTAATTTCTTCATCTTTACTAAATAGCATTAGGAAAACGGCTTGACCAAGTTTGGCCTGAAATATATGACTTTCTTCTTACTCGATTTGAAAAGTAAATTGAGTAATAATTTTAATAATAATTTTATTCATAATATATTTGATATTTAATCTCTTGAATTACAATATATGCAGTATAAAAACAACGGGTAAAGGCCAATTTTATGATGATGAATTTTATGAATTACAACGTGATGGATATAAAGAAGAAGCCTATATGAAATATACATTTAGTCCAATTTTCAAATCTGATCGCACAGTTTGCGCTATAATGTGTATGTTGCAAGAAACTACTCAAAAGGTTTTAAATACTCGAAGGTTAAAAATACTTAGTGAATTTGGTAGTCAGATTTCTGGTTAGTAGTAATCGTAATTTATAATGTAAGTCTTATATTTGTGGATTTTATCTGTTAATTCCATAATTTTCTTGAAGAAATTAAGTCATTGGAAAGTGCCTGTCGTATTGTTACAAATGTATTAAGTAATAGTGTTGATATTCCTTATACACTGATTTACATTGTCGATCATAAATCGAATACTGCTGAATCTTCGGTCGCCCGTCTGATAGCTACAACCTTTAATGAAGACGATAAAGAACGTCAGATTCCTAATAATTTACCAAATTCTCCCGAAATAATTTACTTATATGAAGACGCTAAGAAGAGCTACGACACATACGTAGAAATAAACCGAGCAGCTACAACTTATTCGTTCTTGAAGTGCGATTCTTGGCCAATAAGCCTTGTAATAAAGGAAGGAAAACATGTAAAAGTTCTTTTAAAAGATGACTCCCAAGCTTTTCTCGTATCTACAAAATTATCTCTTTTAGAAGGACAAACTTTGTCGGTTGTATTGATTTATGGCATTTATCAATTTCGCACACTTGATGAGCAATATATAGAATTTTTGCAAGTATGCTAAAAGTTCTCGATCATTAATATTCATTAATTTCTTATATATTTTAAAAATTACTTAAATGCATTATAATTTTTTAGTTAGTTACAGAACAAGTGAACACTTATTTATTAAATGGGATTAAATTAGATGAGGAAAAAAAGCGATCCAAAATGTTGGCTGATTTAAATTATCAAAAAGTCATGTTTTTTCAAGGCGTCAGTCACGAGCTAAAAAGTATTGATTTACATATATTTACTTATAATAAATATTCTTTAGAAATATAGTATAAACAAATAACTTTTTTTTTATTTCTTATTTTTACCATAATAGCGCCATTAACCTTAATGCTTTCGCCACTTGACGATGTAATTAATGTATGTTCACAAAATGCGCCAATAATGCCATACCTTCAAACTATTCGACGTAACTCTCATCGATTGCTTAAACTTATTAATGCTTTATTACAAGTAAGTTATACATCATAATTAATCTGATAGTTACTGTACATAGTTTCCGAACATTATATTAAAGACAATTCACTACTTTTACAGTTTTCAAATATGGAAGCTAATAAATTTGAAGCACATTATCGAGAAACAAACATAGTTGAACTTACTCAACAATTATCTTTGGACTTTAGCATTATGGCTAAAAAATTAGGATTAGATTTCAATATTGATATTTCAAATCCAGATGAATTTAACAAAGCAGTGGGAGATAAGATTTACTTGGATCATGATATATACGAAACAATAGTATTTAATCTTTGTAAGCATTTTCTAAATTTGTATTTTCTCTAAATTTTTTATAAAGTCATATTCATTATATTAAGAGAATTTGCTTGTTAAAGGCTCGAATGCATTAAAACATACTTGGAATGGAAGCATAACTATTCGCTTATATCTTGACAACAAAGACAATAAAAAGATGGTAATTCTTGAGGTGTCAGATACAGGTTAATAATATTCCTAATAAATTTATCATGGAATTTATACACACTATTTCCCATATTAATTTTTTTATTCTTTATATAGGTGTTGGCATTCCGGAAATCGCCCTTTCAAATATATTCCAACGATTTTATCGTGTAGAATCTCAAGGTTCACGTAGTCATGAAGGTACAGGAATCGGGCTTGCGCTAGTTAAAGAACTTATTAAGCTTCATGGTGGTGATATTACTGTATCTTCAATAGT